CGCCGGTAATGGCACTAGTTACGTCGGTATAATTTCCGACGTCTAATCCGTCAGATATATTTCGTTGAGTTTAAATACGCCGGCGCAATCTCCGCCGGTAACGTAAGCCGGAATAGTTCCGCCGTAACGTGCGACGGAAATGGTTCAGGCATCCCTATACCGTCGGCTTTTCCGGCGGAAACGGCGTCGGTGAATTTCCGACGTATGTTGCGCCGGAAAAGGTGACGCAAACCTTACGTCGAACAAATCCGCCGGTAACTGCGTCGTTTATTACCGTCCAAAATTTTCCGCCGGAAAATCCGACGGTATTCGCGTGTTTTCCCGTAGTGTAAGGTCTAATTATTTGGTAATAAATTAAAGAATATAACAATCCATATCATTTTGCACATAAACATTCCAAACTAAAAGGGGCAGAGGATGCATTCCCTTGCTCTTTCTTCTACTCTAAATTCTGTCATTCACACTCTTGTGCATCACCTGGTTGCAAAATCATTAATCCTCTTTTGTATTTTACTTACTATTGTATTCATTGATGCATATCCAGTTTAACTTTATCAAATATCCCTTGGTACTCCAGGTCTGTCCAGATGCTTATATTAGTTTAAATAAAGTAGGATGAGGAGGAAGAAGAGTCAGAAAATGGGTGAAAATGAATAATTGGTGATCTTATAGTGTATGTTTAAGCTTTAGTCATTGCTAACTTCAGATAAAAACCAATATAAACTAAATCTCCCTTTTATTTTCTTTTCCTTATTAGTTTATTGGATATCATCTCTAGTGTTTTGAGTCCTTCACAGAAGCAACATTGGCTTTTGTGCTGCATGCATGATCCTTGACACTTATTATATATTTAATAGTTTAACTAATACCCCTTGACCATCTTGGAGTTTGGTGAAAGATTTGACCTTGCACAAGTTTGATGAGCAGTATTGTTTTTCTATATCTTCTTTTTTCTTCCGGACTTTTATTGTTTGCTTATATTTTCAGTCAGATGGTTCGCCCTACTTTTCATTAAAAAAAAATCCCTTCAGAACTGTAGTTCTATAGATGAGAAAACTAAAGTTTGTATGTTAAAGTATTAGAAGGCTAGCAGAAAATAAACTTCTATAACCTCCTTTCCATTTTGTTAGCTTTTGGCTTGATGATCTTTGATCTTTAGATTTGATACAATTTGTGCGAAATGTCATTTTTTTGCTTGCTAAAACATGTTCGGTTTACTTGTTTATTTCGATGATTTGAAAGTTCTATTCTTCATAATCTAATTGCATTGCATTTCTTATTTTATGAAACATCTTTGAATTAGTTCGTCGATGATCAATGTCTTAGCTGATCCATGTGTGGTATTTGGTACTATATGTATTTCTTTATACTGCTTTGCAACTTAAAAAATGCAATGGTATTCTTCTTTAGTTATTTGCATATCAGCTTATGCTGTAAAATTTCAATTCTTATCCCCCATTTTTCTTGTTGCTTCAGTGCTACTGTGGAAGATGCTCAGCGTTCCATCCAAATGAAGAGTGGATTAGCAATAGGTGGTAGAAAAATAAAAGTTGAAATTGCAATGCATCGGCTTTCTTTAGATCTTCGCTTGAAGAAAGCAAAGAATGGTAATTTCGACATCTCTGGGCTAGTTAATGTCCATATCATTGCCATTTAAGGCAAAAAAAAAAATCATCCGATTTAAGTTCTAGTGCTTTCTTTCAATTGTTATGTGCCAGTCTCATTATTCTATTGCAGAAGAAACAAATGCGAGTGGAGCAAATCAAGCATGCAAAGTTGACAAAAAGGAACTTTCAACCCCATATGCATTAGGTTGTAATATCAGTCTTTTTCACTATTTCCATAACACTTGTTTGTGTTTAATTTCATTGACTGTTATATCTTGATAATATTTCAGGACTTGTCAAGAATGAAAAAGCTTCCAGTGAAGTATTTGTTCCAAATAGTTCCTCTATTGATAAAGAAGACGGATCTGAAAGGCAGAGGTAATGATTCAATTTGGTGGATACCTCAGGAGATGATGCACTGTGCTCTATTGAACAAAAAAGGCCTAAATCCATTTAATATGCCTTTTAATAGTCCTTTTTTGTTTGAATTTATGAAATAGTTCAATTTTTTGAAAGGCTATAAATTTTTTTGTTTTTATTAAATTGCTTCAATTGTTTGAAATATGATGAAGGCTAGTTGCTTGTTTATCATTTATGAATGTTATTAGTAGCTACTCCAATATAATGAAATTGCTCGTTTTAATTCAACTAATTTGTTTTTATTTTGATTTTAAGGGTTGCTAGGACAGTGGTATTTGGAGGTCTTCTTGGTTCTGAAATGGCAGTTGAAGTACTTCGCCGGGCAGGAGAGGCTGGAAACATTTGTTCAATAACCCATCCGTTTCCAAAGGAAGAACTTGATCGTTATGGTTTGCAAATTATTCTCCTCTCTAAACTGCTGTGATTAATGTTTGGACAGTTTTCTTTAGGCTTGTAGATTACATGCACTGTAGATGTGTGTGTCTGCTTTTAGGTATGTGAGAAATCTTATGTAGTGATCACCTGCAAATTCTTTGATACTTTTCCAAAATAGTACATTTTAACACCTTATATGTTACACAACTTGATAGGTAGCTGCTGGTGGTCTTTTCCTCTATAAATCATAGGGACCTTACGCTACGGAAGTTTTATTGCAAAGCTAGTAAAAGGTCAACAGTAATCTCGATAATTTCTATCATTAGATTTATGGTAATAGAAAATTCAAATTACCCGAGCATATCAGATGCTCCATCTTCTCATTACAACAACAACATCATCAAACATTTATCCCACTACGTGGGGCCGGCTACATGAATCTTTTTTCTCCATTGTGTCCTATTAAAAGTTAAATTCTTGTTTAAATCTAATAAAGAAAGGTCATTCCTAATATTTTCTAACCAAGCCTTTTTAGGTCTGCCTTTACCTTTCTTAACACAAGTCAAATCTAATACCTCTACTCTCCTAACCGGGTCATCTGAAGGCCGTGTTTTAAGTGACCAACCATCTAGGCGACTCTCTCTAATCTTATTTCTACTGAGTTACTCCAACCTTTCACGTAGATGCTCATTTCGTTATCCTATCTCTTAAAGGTAAACCACTCATTCACCCGAGCATCCTCATCTCTGCACACTTAACTTATGTATGCTTCCTCTTTAATGGCCAACATTCGGCACGATAAAACATTGCAGGCCTCACCACTATCTTATAGAATTTCCCTTAAGTTTGAGGGATGCTTTCTATCACACAAAAGCCATGCATTCTTCCACTTCAACATCCAACTTGAATTATGCTGATAATATCCCATCTATTTACCTTCACCTCTGAACAATAGATCCAAGATATCTAAAATGTGTAATCTTATAATGACTTGATCGCTCAAGTCACATTCCCCTCACTAGGTCTATTACTAAAATTTACACTGCATATATTCGTTTTATATCTACTCAAGCAAAAACCTTTAGACTCTAAGGTGGACTCATAATTTCAAGTTACCTTCAACTCTTCCTTGTCTTATCAACCAGAGAATATCATCATCAAAAAGCATACACGAAGGTACATCCTATTGCAAATGTCATCCATACTAAAGCAAGTACAGGTTAAGGCTGACCATTGATGTAACCCACCGAAATAGGGAAAGAACTTGGTCAACCACTTGGTTTGAACACAGGTAATAGCTCTTGCATACATATCTTTAATGATTTGAATATAAGCTTCTTTAAGTTCTTTCTTTTCGAAACTCCATAGCACTTCTCTTAGACTTTATTCATATGCTTTTTCTAAATCAATAAATATCTAATGTATACTCCTTATTTTCTCTATTTTCTCTATCAAACCTCTTAATAATGTATGACTTCATAGTCGCCTACCCAGCTGAATCCAAATTTATTTTGAGAAACATTAGTATCACGCCGCAACCTATGCTCCATAAACTCGCTTCCATAGTTTTAAAAGTATGATGCATTACTTATTCCTCTATAATTCCACAATCTTGTCAGTCACCTTTATTCTTAAAATCATGAAGTTAAACACACTCATTCTCCCTCATACTGACGTCTTTTTAGTCTTTAAAATAGTATTAAAAAGTTTAGTAAGCCGTGAAATTCCTTCATCTCCTAAGCATTTCCACACCTCTATTGGAATATCATCAGGTCCAACAGCTTTTCCACCCTTCATTTTCTTTAAAGCCTCTCTAACTTCAGTTTTACTAATACGCCGATAAAAATAGAAATCTTTATTTTCATTTAGGGTGCTAAGGTCACTATAGTCAATCTTATTTTCACAATCTTTATTAAAAAGTTTAGCAAAATATCCCATCCACCTTTGTTGAATATCATCTTCTAAGAAAAGTATTTTTTGATCTTCATTCTTAATACACTTCACTCGAACTAAATCCTTACAACTCTTATCTTTTTGTTTGGCTAACTTATACATATATATTTTTTCCTTCTAAGTATCTAATCTATTATATAAATCACTAAGAGCTAAGGTCTTTGCATCACATATTGCTTTCTTAGATTCCCTACGAGCCTATTTATATCTTTCCCAATTATCTAAATTTTTAAAATTAAACCATTTTTTATAACAAATCTTCTTATTTTTAATTTTTTCTTGCACATTTGGATTCCACAACCAACTATTTTTACTATTAGGAGTTTTTCCCTTTGAAACTCCAAGCACATCTTTTGCAATTTTCTTAATACCACTAGCCACTTTTTTTCACATAAGTACATAACATTAACATCCTCGTGCACAAACAAAATCTTAAGATCTAAAATCTTACTCTAAAAAATATTTTTGTTAATATTCTTTAAATGTTCCAATCTAATCCTAGAATATCGTTAACTTTTTTTTGTCCCTTTATATTAAAGTCCAAAACTAATAATGGATGTTGGGTACATAAATTTTCACTCGGAATAACTTTACAATCTTTGTAATCTAAACAATTAACAATCTAACTTTCTTGTAAGAAAATAGTCAATCTTAGTTGTACTATATCCATTTTTATAAGTGATGAGATGCTCATTCATTTTCTTAAATAAGGTATTAGCAATTAAAAAATCATAAGTTAAACAAAAATTTAATATTGTTTTGTCAACTTCATTTGTCGTTACAAACTCATTGCCACCATGAATGCTTTTAAAATCATCTACCTCTCTATTAACATGTTCATTTAAATCTCCTTCAATAAAAACTCTTTCTTCAAAAGATATATTTTGTATTAATTATTCTAAGTAATTCCAAAAATTTAATTTAGAACTCATATCTAAACCTACTTGAGGAGCATAAACACTTATAATATTAACAATCTTAGCATCAACAACAATCTTTAAAGTTATATTTCTATCTCTAATCCTATTAATTTTTATAACATTATCCTTCAAACTCTTATCTATAATAACACCTACATCATTTCTAGTACGACTCCTACCCGAATACCAAAGTTTAAATCCTAAACCATCATTTTCTTTAGCCTTCTCTCCAACCCATTTAGTTTCCTGAATGCACAAAATATTTAACTTCCTATGAATCATAATATTTATTAATTCCATTAATTTTCCTGTAAGGGAACCTATATTCGAAGTTCCTATCCTAATTTTAGTTTCATATTTTTTAGTTTCATGGACTATTGATGTTGGAACCCTTGCCTATTTAACACTGCACTCAGGCACCGGTGCAGCGGCCCTTGCACACTTCTCACTGTATTCAGGCCATACTGCGCGTCGCTTTTAGGGGATGTCTTAGAAATTCTCATTGAGGAGATGAATTTCCATCAATAGTGATATTCTACAAAATTTACAATGACATCAAACATAGTGATCAAATTCTGAAGAGATTTCAAACGTTTAATTCCTTATAGCATCTTAGCTCGTTTAAAGGAACCTCTTTGATTTTGTTCGTTGCAAGTTTTAATCTCAAGTGCAGTGATCTCATCAAGTGTTACAAGTCATGACTTTTTAGCTGGCCATCTTTTTACAAAAACCAAATAAATTAATTGTAATAGGTAGATATTGATAAGCAAACAACAACCTCACAAATAGCTACATGCTAAAATGCAGTGATATTTGATTATGTTCATTTTGCAAATCATTATTACAATAGTCACAACCTCTTTCAATTTATTTTTAACAGTTTGATCAAAAACTCTTCCTTGATCTCATACACATGTCTAGCAAACATTAATTCTATAAATATGAGTTTGTGATCGCTTCCTCATCTCTGCTCATGTGCAAGGCACTATTCTATTGCCAATTGTCCTACCCTTTGAATAAAATGAAAAATACCCTTTCAACTTTTCTACCTATTTGTTTTAATTTAATATGGTATTAGAGCTCTAATACCTCACGGTGGATCAAACCCAACATTCTTCTTGGCATTTTCTTCTCTCCCATTTTTCGTTCATGACTCGTTCGACCTTTCAACTAACAACCCCATTCACGACAACTCCGCTGCCCTCAAGGCCAGGGACATCCCTATAGCTTCTCAACAAAAGTTTTTGATGTCCAACATTAAGAATATTCTCAATCTACAATTCACCACCGATTATCATCTCACATGGCACGCTCAAGTTTACTAGAATTTTAAGTTTAATGACTTTGATGGGTATCTAGTAGGCTACACCCCAAAATTGACACATCTCGTCAATGAAGACATAACCATCATTCCCAATCCCCACTATAACACTTTGTTTCTCATTAATAAATCTCACTATTACACTATACTCTTTCATATACTATCCTTACGACCCTATGTCTTAACACTAGATTCTTGCATTGAAATTTGAAAGTTGATTGAAAGATGATTGCAATCTACTAACCGACCCAACATCATTCAGCTAAATAATTAGCATCACTATATCTTCTTGAAGGATAAAATAATGACCCAATAACTCCTTGATATCAAGTCCAAAGTTGATACGATCACTTTAGCAGGTGCTCCTCTTGGCCCCAAAGTATCATTCTTCACACCCTTCATAACATTCTCCATCCTATCAAGTTTTAAAAAACGCTATTCTAACAAAACTTCATCCCATGAGCTTAGGCAACCTATACTCTCTACTCTTTCGATGGGCAAGAATGACAAAAGTATGCAAACTTTACTTTCTAATAATATTAACTTTATTATTATTATATTATAAAATAAAAATTGTCAAACATGAAAATATCCCATTTTAACCATACCCAACCCCTTTCTTCCCTTTCTCCCCTTTACTTGTGCCTCACCTAGAGGTTTGATGGCCATTTGACCATTATTTTATTTAAAAAATATTATTAATAAGAAACCCCTCATGATCATGCCGTTTTATCTTCGCATCTTTCCCTCTCAGTCCTTTGCTCTCTCTACCATGTTTCTCTATCCTGAGCGGCAAAAACTTGCTTTTGCCTCTTCCTTTTCCAACTGCCATATGCACCAAGCATAATCGCTATACTCTAGGCCTTCCTTCCTCGATTTACTACTCCCTGTTTCTACCCCACCTACCTCCTCCATCCTCATAATTACACCTTAGACTGCCGACAGTTGACACCTCATTGCCGTTGTCGCCCCTGAAGCTGTCAATCTCCCTTCTCTTTTCTTTCTCTCCCTCATCATCTTTTTTCTTTCCCCCCTCTATCTCTTTTCTTTGTCTCTCTCAATTTCCCTTTCTCTCTCTCTCTCTCTCACACACACACACTCTCTAACTTCGTTCCTCTCTTTAACTCTCTAACTCTCAATTACTTGCTTTCTCTCTCACCCCTTTCTCTCTCTAGACAGAAGAAAAAATAGAAAAAGAATAAAAGAAAAAAATTAAGGAAAGAAAAAGAAAAAAAAAAGATTTTTATTTGTGCAATAATCTTCTCATTGCCATCGACTTTGTTCCTTGCACACAAAGGTAAAAATTGGCAAACCCTCGAAGATCTCAAAAATCTTGAGTGTGACTAGTTCAGCTTGGCACGCGAAATTCGTGCATGCTTTTATTAGTGTGAAAGGGGAAACTAGTAAGTGATGCTCATGATGCTGCTTGCAATTCATGTGCGCAGTTTTCTTGATGCGGTAGGGAAAATTTAATATAAGAACTTTTGTGTCTTCATGGTGCAACATGGAAATGTTGCAAATTTCAAATAGGTATGTGAAGACCCACGCACATCCTTTTTTGGCAACTGAAAATGAATGCTTTGCTCTTTGATCAAGGTTTGGGTTGTGGCTTTGCTTAAGAAGAATTGCAAGATGGGAAGGAAAAGAATTGATTTGATATTGCTAACAGGGATCGTGCAATTCTCTTGCATTTTGGAGATGTTCTAAGGGAGATTGTTGGGAGTCATCATTGAATTTTGGAGAAAGCTTGAATCCTTTTAGTTGAAGAGGGTCTTGTTACACCCATACCGGTCCAGCCAGCACTTGGCAAGGGGTTGGCCCAAGTGTATAAGAGGCGGACCAACCTCTTGATTTTGCCGCCCATGCATGGGTGGGTCCCACTCATGAATTTAATTAGGAAGGGAGGGGGGCGGCTAGGGCTAAGGAGGTTTAATTGTCAGCTTTAAATGGGAAGAGAGGATTAGAGTTAGGGTTATGCAAATTATTGTGGCTATTTTGTTCATGGAGTTTGGTGTCTTGGTGATGGGGACATCGTCAGAGATTGCGACACATGTACCATCAGGAGATGCCGGAGATCGACGACCACGATCATGACCTTTATTTTCATCATTTTATGTAGTAGTTTATTTGATTTTTATGTTTTTCCTTTTTTCCCTTATGGGTAGTTGGTCGTTATTGTAGCCCGAGGGGCATTTTAGTCTTTTGTTGTCTTGTCATTTTGAGGCGTATTTATATGGCCATTTTCTCATGTAATTTTAGTTTTTGATGAAATGAAAATTTACCCTTATGTGTTCTCTTTGTGAGTTCAAGAAGATCTCTTGGTGAGTTCTTCACCCTCCTCGATCTCTTAGTGAGTTCGCCGGAGAGGACTAGATCTCTTAGTGAGTTCTAGTTTTCTAGTTATCTCATCTTGTGGAAGTCCAACGCGAATATAATCAAGGTTAGCAATTTTGTGGTGGTCCAAATCCCAAGATCTTGTTTTCTCTCCTTTTCCCTGCATTTGTTTTCGTTAGCCTTGGCGGCCCAGCAGCCTATTCCTGCTGCCTCTCCCTCTTGAAGTCTTCCATTATTTGAATTTCAAATCTCTTGAGTTATTAATCTCCTTAATTGGTGCTTATGCAATTAAGCCACCCATTAAAGAGATTAAATCCAAATTTGAAATTCAAATTTGATCTCCCTCTCTTTTTAAATCTTGGGGAGTTACTTAAGCTCTAATTAAATCTGAAATTAAAATTCAGGTTTAATTGAATTTCTTACTTAAACTTGGGCCCCACCCTCATAACTCCTAAATCTCTCTCTCTCTCTCCTCCTTATTGGGCCGGCCACTCTTAGTGGGCCTCTCTCTCTCCCAAATGACATATTAACACCGCAAATTCAGCCCAAAATTCTTCCCCCTCTTCTCCCGGATGCTCCACCAACTCCCGGCAAGAATGCATGGACGTTTGGATCATTAACGGCCGCCCACCGCTTCTCCAAATCCGGCTCCCTCCCCGGCGACGAGTCCTCTCGGGATTACTTGTCTATTAGTGGCATCGTTGAGTTTACTTACAATCCTCCTCCGCTAGCCCCTATTTTCGAGAGCAATGAAAGGACCTCAAGGTGAATGATCTAAATTTTAAACGTGTGGCTTTAGTCGTAGCTATTTGCATTATCAAGTTTATTTTGGTTATATTTTGTAAGACTCATGTAATTCTTAAATGTAATCATCGCCGTTAACATAATCTATCACGAAGTTTCTTGAATCCAAATTGAGAAAGCTAGATTTTATCGTTAACATTGCAAAGTTAAACTCTCATTAATCTCTAACGTGCAATTCATGTTCACCGCATGTGGTTTCACATCACTTGGGCTCTAGCGGCGTCTAGAGATTGGAAGAGATAGATCCTCCTCTCGAATTGAGGATCAATTGTATATTGATATTTTCTTGTCATTATCTTGATTGTCTTGGGCTATAACGATGATACTTCCCTTGTTTGAAAGAACCCAAAATCGTGCAAAAGTTTCATAATGGCTTGGCGTCCGTTTAGGTAAATATCTTTTAAAACATGACAAAAAAGAAAACAAACTAACTAAAACAAGCTCTTAGTAATGGTTGAATGGTACCTATTGTACAATCTATCCTTTTGCCCTATAGATTCAAATTCATCTTGGAGTGGGAAGTCAATCAGAATGTTTGATTGGGTTTTAGTGTTTACTCTTATTCATGCTCAATAACCAAAGGAAAGAGCGAGGTTTGCATTCAATCCAATCAATTGATGAATCCATTTCTTCGAAAAGAAGAACACCATTAACAAGTTCAGTATGTGGTCAATGTCAAAACTAATTTTTGCATTTTACATCTTTAATTAAACTTCTAGCTGAATTAATTTTCTTTCTTGCTCTCATTTATGTAGGAAGTCAATTACAAACCTTATTTTTCTGTAGAAAATTATTTCCAGAACATTCTTTTTATGGGAAAATAAACATTATAATTTTTAGGACTTGCTAGAGATGGTTGCAAGTTGGAAGCTGCATCTGTACTTTATAAAAGTGTCAAAGCAGCACGCCTTGCTGTTTCAATGTTTCATCAACAAGAGATAAAGGGTGGATGTGTTTGGGCACGCCAATTGGGTGGCGAGGTAAATATTTTTTGTGCTACCTGCTGAACTTCTTTTTGCTGGTTTTTAGTTAATTGTCACTATTTTTCCAATTTTGTCAAACAAATTGAAAGTGTATATAATAAACAATGCTTTAATTACAATAGCAAACCCTTTTGTATTTTCATGTATCACCATGCAAACATAATACTTCATGAAAATCTTAAAAAGTAATCATTGCCATCTTGGATAGAATAAATGAAGTTGTGCAAAAGTAGTGTTATTGTCAACTCAGTGTATCACTTGATTATTGATCTTTGAGCCAATACATCTCTTCATTTACTTTGTGCAATAAATTCTTGCCCTCATCATAATGATCCAAGTCTTTGGTGGAACAGACACCATTTTTGGCTAGGAATTCAATTCTTTTCAGCTTCTGCATCACAACTATTTTTTCTTTTTTTTATTAATCAAAATTTATTTTTTCCTTACTTTAAAGCTTGTCCTAGTAAGCCAAAGCTTCATCACTAATTTATTCATCCCATCACCATGAGTAGATTAGCCATTCCATAAAGTAGATATCTTTGAATTTATCCATGCGAAATTAACTATTTTTTAACAAAAGTATATGTTTTGAAAGAGGTAGTCATATTTCACTGGAAGAGAACATATCAATAGTTTGACTAAACCTCATATGGTTCATTCTTGACCGCAATGAGGAATTAGTTCCTCCCAACTAAATGAAATTATAAATTCATTTTGTAAAATATTTCATCTTCTTTATTTTTCTAACAGATGATATTCCGGTCCACCAAAGGGATATCATGAATGTCCTTACACTCAATGTCCATCTTTGTTCTTAACCGAGTAACTTAAAAAAAAAGGTCATTTTTTGGATAAATCGAATGGTTAACAGAGGAAGTAGTTTAGAAAGGATTTCTAAATGTGAAATTGAATTGACATGTATTTAACAAATTACTGAGTAATTTCTTTTACTTTCCGCCAACTTCAACCTCAGACCTTCCTTTTTGGTTCTCTTCAGTTTGAAGAATTGACAGCATATTCATTTCTCTTTATTTGAATTTCTGGCTCTCCCATTATAAAAAAAAAAACTAGGGAAAAAAGGAGGATCATTAACCTTTTGGTTCCCGAAAGTGGCCAATTGAACTTTATGATCTAAATACTTTATGTAAATCAGTAAGGAAGATAAAGCCTTCGACTTGGGTCACATTTTAGTCCCGTACAAGCCATCTTTATCAATCACATGTTTGCAAGGAAAATGACTTAATTATTTTGGAGTAGCTCCAGTGGAAGATAAGATTAGAGAGAGTTGCCTTAGATGGTTTGGTCTTATAAAATGATGGCTTTTTGATGGCTTGGTTAGGAGAGTAGATGTATTAGATTTGGATTATGTTAAGAAAGGTAGAGCTAGACCTAAAAAGTCTTTGTTAGAAAATGTTAGAAATGAAATTTCTTTATTAGATTTAAATGAGAATTTGACTCTTAGCAGGACAAATTGGAGAAAAATGATTCATACTAGCCCACGTAGTGGGATCAAAGGCTTGTTGTTGTTGTTGTAAACTCCGATGTAATCAAATTCCAACTACAAAAGATAAGCCTTGAAGAGCAATTGAAGAGGCGATATTTTTGTTCATCTTGATAGCTCTCAAACTTCTTTCCGCTTGTTAACCATGAGTCTTACCCCAATGAATTTCATGCTGCTTCTGTTAACTAGAGAGAGCAAGATCTTGTTAGCTATGTACTTCACAGAGAATAAGCTAGGTTTATAGAAAGAATCCTGTAAAATCACTCCTGATTGCAGTGCCTCTTAAGAAACTGCATAAAATCCTCCATCCATAATCTTAAATAAAAAGTCATAAACAAAACCAAATTTTATTATATGAGCTGAAAGACTGGGTCTCATGTTCCCGCCACTTGTACATTGCAAGTTGCTTTGAACATTGAATTTCTATTTGCAATGTCATGGTTTCTCATTGGCTAAGCGTTGGTGATTCTTCCTAGGTGGCATCTTAAGTCTTAACCTAGCACTCTCATTCCAAACTTTACATTTAGAGATGGTTCGAGAAAGTCTACCACTAATACTTTTTTATTGAAAAAAAAAGCTAAGAACCCTTATAGTCTACTTGACAACAATATATATTAGGAAACAAATTACAATAACTTAAATAAGAATAATTAGCTTCTTGAAACTAACTTTTCAAACTACGATGAATTCCTGAAATCCATAATTATGTCCTGCATAAATATTACATTATTTATCCCACTTAGTACTAGTTCTCATGTGGTCAAACATTCTTGGACTAGCCTTTTTTTTGTCCTTACCATGTCCAACCAAGAAACATGCCAAGGGGAATGTCCAGTGGTTTTTGCACCTTGCCTGATTGACTATAAGCACTATTTACTCTATTAAAACTAGGATTGCAAATGAATCAAATGTTCAACATGTTACTCATGGCTTATTTCTATTAGAGCTTATTCCTAATTAATCAAAAAAGATTGAATACTTTTCTAAATGTTCGATTGTCAAATGAATAAGCTTCTGTTGCAGTGTTACTTGTTGCTTGATTCATTTGTGATCATGAACAACAACAACAACTACATCATCGAGCTTTTATCCCACTATGTGGGGTCGGCTTTATCCCACTATTGTGATCATGAACAATATCATTTTTTTTAATTTTTTTTTATCATGAATAATATCATTTAAATATCATGAACAAGCTAGATTAAGGTTTGATATAAAGCTTGTGAGCAAGCTCGATTAAATCTTGATATAAAGCTCATTAACAACTAATTTGAATTCTCCACAAAATGATATCCTAGAAGCAAAACCCTTGACTATCTCCCAAAAAGGTGCCCCCCAAAATCTACCCCCATAAATTCTGAAACCCATGAGAACAATGAATGAAGGAAGTTGACTAGAGATTGCCATAGAAGGTGCGATGAGATCTTGTGGGAGAAGGTATCGATGGGATTAGCTGTGTGAGCAGGCATGGTCTAGGAGGCTTGGAGAGAGCTCTTTTCCTTCTAAGAAAAATGTGAGGTTTTCTTTTCCATGTTCTTTTTAGCGTATTTTTATACTATTTGCTTTTGCTTGTTCTGCCAAATATGGGCAAGTGGAGAAGATTGAAGTGAATGCTTTATGAATAAATGGAGTTGATGATGATTATGATGTAGAACCAAGCTGGCCATGGTTGGGCAATTCAAAATCTGAAATTTAATTTCAGATTTTAAAGAATTTAGAGAGGAGGGAAAAGTTTGAATTTGAATCTTCTCCAATTAAAGGAGGGAGTGATTAAGCGGGGTTGCTAAGTTTGGAAATTTAAATTAGGAAAGGAAATTTAGAGTATCTCCTTTTCAAAATTTAAATTAATTTGAATGGTGGGGCCTTTCCTAATTTAACCCATCTATTTTAGGAATATAATTTCAGATTTTAATGAATTTAAAATCTGATTTGAAAACTTTGATTTTGAATTGGGAGGGAAGCAAATTCAAAATTTCTGAAATTAATTTCAGCCAAAAGGGTGGAGGTAATTGGAGAATTATTGGCTTAATTGGGGGAGCTTTAATGGGCTTCCTAATTAGAGGAGAGAGAGAGAGAGAGGGGGCGGCCAAGAGGGGAAGGGGAGGGGCCTTTTATATTTTTTCTACTAAATATTTGAATTATGATGGCTTCTGTTTCTTTGTTTTTGAAGTTCTATTAAATGCCTTAATAGAGATCCATACATTCATTGTTCTCGTTTTTTAGGCATTAAAAAAACTTTAATTACAATTATTTCATGTGACATTTTAATAATAATTAAGTTATCTTCTTAAAATTTTTTATATTAAAAAAAACATATGGATGTCTTTTTTTTCTTCATTTTTTTTCATGAACACAAGCTACTTATTTATACTCGTTTGAATGTTTGTTTCACTTGTTCATTTGGTAACTCATTCAATTAAAGTATTGTTTTTGTATGTTCAACAAGTTGCTTGTTAATAAGCTCGATAAGTCTCATTTGTTTTGTTAATAAATTACTTGATATTGTTGTTTGTGAATAAGCTCGATAAAGCTTATTGTGTTGGCTAATAGGCTTGACAGGCTCTTTTGATGTGCCAACAAGCAGCTCGATAGATAGACTATTTAATTTGCTCGATAAGGCTGTTTGTTTTGCAAGACGTGCTGCTCGATAATAGCTTGAAAATCCTAATATGAATCCAACTCGAATCAGCTCAAATCAAAATCGAGTTACCATGATCTGAAATAAATCAAATTTACCATGTTGGTGACTTGTGCCTAAAATCCTCTAGAAATTATTAGAATGATTTATGAAGTTAAGTTGTATGGATGCTAAAATACTTCCAGTTAATTGCTGGTAGTGCTGCTCGATTTTCATAAAGTTTTCCTTTGTCAAAATATGTTTAAGGAGTTTATTTGGCCCTAATGAGATATGATGTAGTTAGCATACTATTTATTACTCATGAGTCTTGATCATCACATATATGGTGGAACCAACGTTTTGTGGATTCTTAACAGAGTAAAGGGAGTAGGGGCTGATTATTTTTCATGATTCTGTTTTCCTCTGATAACGTCCTTCTAAGTGATCCCATTTTTACCATTTGCATCAGGGTTCAAAAGCAAGAAAGTGGAGATTAATAGTCAGAAATCTGCCTTTCAAGGTTCTTGGTGCAGTGCTATATAGTATAATCACTCAAGATGCGTCATTAGGAGTAGGAAGCAAACTAATCAAATACTTCTATTGCAGGTCACAATTAACGACATCAAAGATCTTTTTTCAACATCTGGTTTTGTTTGGGATGTGTATATTCCGAATAGAACAGAAGAAGGGTATGTCTTGTGGTGTGTTGTAGTTTGCAGGTGGTTTTTGGTATTTATGATATTTTATTGTTTCAGGGTATCCAAGGGCTTTGCTTTTGTCTCTTTCACATGTAAGAAGGATGCAGAAAAGGTATGGAAGCTCTTATTAGTTATTTTTGTCGAACAAGTTATATAAATACTGGGGAATATTGATGTTTTTGCTTGCAGGCCATCCAAGACATCAACGGTAAAATGGTTGCTAAAAGACCTATTGCAGTTGATTGGGCAATCCCAAAAAAGATATATACGAATGCCACCAAATCTACTACTGAAGAGGGTAATTTGTCACAGCATTCTGTTCAATATCCTTTGTGCTATAAATTAAGCACTTTTATTCGAACTTAATCAATTCCCATGTTCGTTCATTTTGAACTTGAAATTGTTTGCATTGGATAATATGATAGCCAAAGGTAGCGGTTAACAGTTAATGATAAGAAGATAACTTAATGATTGTTCTTGGGGCTTCCTTCATCAGTTTTATGTTATAAGCTGACATTCTTGTTAGGCTCAGTTAAATACTGTCGTACTTTGCAAAATTTTGGAATCCTTATGCTCTTTATCTCTTTGATACGCGATTTCTTCTTATCATTTCTTATGTTTCTGTTACTCGTGATATTTTGTTTCAGAAAATGCTTAAAATGGTCCTTGGGCTTTTTAAGAGGGACTATTGATTTAATTTAGTCCCCCAATTAAAAACTTTTGTTTGCTTGGAAGGAAGGTTCACATGCAAGTGTGTATTGGAGGTTATATTAGCTTTTTTTTTCAATCCATACAAATTGTTAAGGACTAATTCGGTTTGTTAATCTTTTGTTCAATTAAACAGGATTTCAAATAGTGGGAGTAAATTGGATCAGCTTTCATGAGTTAAGGTACTAAATTGAGCACTTTAAATAACCTAGGATAAGGAATAAGGATGCTTGTGTTTAACAACCCGGTCTATAAGGATATAAAGCTTGATGAATGATCCCATTATCAACACAATATGAGCAAATAGAGACTTTTAACCTACAGTCCTACACTGGAGTTAATATATCTATGTGATACAGCAGTGATCATCAACAAAAGAAACAAAATATGTAAATGCTTTGGGGTAAGATAGTACTTGGCCCCCAAATATGAGAATAGACCAACTTGATGTAGAAGATGAAAATGACACCATGATTTTTATTAGGATTGCAAGCATTACATTCAAACATAGATAGAGGGGAGGCATAAATAAAGGAGGCCGCCTTTCCAATCACACTAAGGGATTCCAGGGTGAGAGTAGCGGGGTCTTGGCGTTCGCTTGGAAATCCTCTAATTCAACTTGTTATCATAAAATATAACAAAATTTGCCCATCATTGTGAAGGTTATAGTTTCAAGTTCATGTAATTGTATGGAAAGATGGACTATTTTATTGATTTGTGTCAGAATCTTGGTGAAAGAATTGTTGCAATTTTTTTTTTCATGAGTCATATTATTGGTGAAAATTCATCCGAAAATTGTTTATCTAATTCAACGTCATTTCAGGAAGCAGTAGAAAATTGAACATCGAGTCCCCACTAAACTAGTTTCAAAATTTTGGTATGGTAGCCAAGCAAGTTGTCCAGAATAAATCATGTAACCTTTTAGTTTGAAAAGGTTTTTTTGTTTACTTTTTAACTTTTTTTTTTTTGGTGTTAAGCTTGCATTTCGTTCTTCTCAAACGATAAATACTTGTTTTAGCTACCATTTTATTTATTGGATGTTGTGATGCAGTTAATGGTGATTTCTTTCCATATTTTCATTCTGTATTGTTTAATGTCACTTTATTTTCCATGCTATGATATGCACCTATAGTTTAGTGGTACAACATGTAACTTGTTAGAACTTTGTTACTTACAGTGAAATCAACTGATGCAAATGAAGATTATGATGAGAGCATTGGTATTTCAGTTGCTGAAATTGATGCTGATGTTATAGAAGAAACAGAGAATCACAATGATAATGGTGATGCAGATGAGACAGCTTCTGGTTCCAAGGGAGATGACCTTCCTACGGAAGTTGATTTTGGGATTGAGGCAGAAGTTGCAAGTAAAATTCTTGAAAAGTTGATTAAATCATCTTTAAGCGCCAGAAGTCATGAGGCAACTGATGGTGTTGAAAAAGAGAAAGCAGTTATTTCCGTCAGCAGGGAGGCTTTTGTTCCTGGGAGACAGTTATGTACTGCTGAAAAAAGAGGTTTGGAACGGCAGGAGCATACATTTGAAAACAATAACAAGAAAGAAGGTGACCTTGATAGAACTATTTTCATAAGCAACTTACCATTTGAAATTGAAAGTGAGGAGGTGAAGCAAAGGTTTTCTGTATTTGGCGAGGTGCAAACTTTCGTGCTTGTGCTCCATCAACTCACCAAGTAAGTTGTGATGGTCTTATAATAATAGAGAACTTAAACAATAATACATTCAGTAAGCCATTTGGTTTAAAGTTCACTTCAATATTCAGTAGACATTTGACTAGAATGTTTTTGTTGTTTTGGTTGGTTGGGTAGGAGACCAAGAGGTACTGCTTTTCTAAAGTTTAGAACAGCAGCTGCAGCTGATGCAGCAATTTCTTCTGCAAATGATGCAAATGGTATAGGAATTATCCTGAAAGGAAGGCCACTTAAAGTTTTAAAAGCTTTGGACAAGGAATCTGCTAGGAAGAGAGGGCTTGAAAATATAAAAAATGTGGTTCAAGACCGGCGTAATCTATATTTGACAAAGGTATGCTCTTCCTAGCCTCAAGCACTCTAATTGCGAGTTGCAATTTACTATAGGATTTCCCAACCCGACAAAAAGAATCCGTTAGTTTTCTTCCTTTTCTTTTCTCTTCATTAAAATTCTTTCTTTTTCTTCCCTCAACTCCCATTCATAATGATTCAATTTTTGTTTGTAACAGGAAGGTGAAATCCTTGCTGACAGCCCAGCTGCTGAAGGTGTATCTAAGGCTGACATGGAGAAGCGTGAGACGTATGATATTTATTTGGATAAACTTGATTTGATTCTAATATAATTCATGTTTTTGGTGCATTTATTTATCAGGCGTTAATTGTTGCAAAGTTCTTAAAATAACTTATTTTTTCGTTGGGATGGGGATTTGGATGCAATTATCATCATCATAAGCATTATCATTACAAAACAAAGAATGAAATTATTTAACTAAGCAATATTAAAGCTTCACAATTTTATGAAAAAGTTCCTTTTGTTGAAGAGCAATATGTTTGTTTTGTTGAAAGTTTCATGGCGGCTTAACGTAATGTATTTTGGATGGTATGGAGAAAAGGAATTTCATGTGCACAATTTGTATTGATTTGCAATTTGCGTAGGCAGTTTGGAATTTGGAAGAGAGCTAGAAATTACTTTATTAAAACATATTCATTTCTAAATCGTTAATTCTTAAAAATAATACTACAGGGGTGAGACTAAATAATTTAAATATGAATCTAATGTTATCTTAAAATCAAATACAACAACAACAACATTATTATGCTTCTCTTTTAATGGCCAACATTCAGCACCATAAAGCATTGCAGGCCTCACTACCATCTTATAGAATTTTCCCTTAAGTTTGCGGGATACATTTCTATCACATAACAAGCCCGATGCATTCCTCCACTTCAACCATCCAACTTGAATTCTGCTGATAATATCCCCATCTATTTCACCATCACTTTGAACAATAGATCCAAGATATCTAAAACGTGTACTCTTATTAATAACTTGATCGCCCAAAGTCACAATCCCCTCACTAGGTCTATTACTACTAAAATTACACTCTATATATTCCGTTTTAGATCTACTCAAGCTAAAACCTTTAGACTCTAAGGTTGACCTCCATAATTCAAGTTTACCTTCAACTCCCTCTCTAGTCTTATCAACAAGAAGAATATCAGCAGAATTCAAGTTGGATAAAAAATAATACTACAGGGGTGAGACTAAATAATTTAAATATGAATCTAATGTTATCTTAAAATCAAATTAAAACCTGATATAATTCATTGGCAGCTATGCTATAATGCATGGATGCATGTATCTGAGCATTGAGCTATGAAAAGTTATCAATAACAAAGTTTGTTAAGACAAATGTGTTGCAAAACTTAGATGGATAGCTTGAGGGATTGTTCGAATATCTTCTATTGATTAGAAGTTAGCCTAGAATAAATTTGGGTTTTTTTTTTATATGAACAAAAAGGGGCCCTTAAGGTTGGTGATAAAATTATTATGAAAGCAGTTGACCAGAGGTAATGCTCATGCAACAATCAATAAGAACTAATTGAGAATGATGATTTATAAAACTTTCCATAAACAGGTAGTATAAGATGGTTGGTAATGAAAATTAATTGTCTCTAAATTCATCACCATTAAAATCTTGTAAGTTTGGCGTTAGGTTTGCTTTCTTAGCGGAAAATCATGTTTGCATTTACTTCTAGACAAAGTATAGTGCTAGCTTTTATTGTTGGATTCTAAATTACTGTCCTGCACATTGCATGTGCTGATACAAATTTGTGCACCTGTTTAACAATTTCTTTCCATCCTTTTTGATGCTATGATAGCTAATGTTAACATTTCTTTCATTTTTGTATTATTTATTCTTTTTTTAATATCCATGAAAATTGAACTTTTGAGTAGGTTGGCCAAAAAGAAAATTGAAATGCTGCGATCTCCAAAGTTCCATGTATCCAGGACAAGACTTGTTATATATAATGTGCCAAAGACGATGACTCAAGAGGAAGTGAAGAAGATGTGTATAGATGCAATCCTTTCACGGGCTTCAAAGCAGAATCCGGAAATTCAAAAGGTTTGATACATTGCAAATGGTTTCTTCTAAATATAACTTATTACGTTTTCAGGATCTCTGAACTTTCCTGCACTTAGGTAAAACTCTTGAATGATGATAAAAAAAAAGAAGCTTCTACGAAGAAACATTCACGTGGTGTTGCATTTGTTGATTTTAAGGAGCATGAGCATGCTCTTGTGGCACTAAGAGTCCTCAATAACAATCCAGGTAAGATAGCCAGTAGAAAATGCTAATTCTTGACTTTTATTCCTGTTTGCAACTTTATCAGATTAAATAATATTCATTGTTGACTAATATCACTGTCACTTTTTACGAAGTTGTTAATACCAAATATGCACTATCTACCTTGTGCATTGGCCAACTATTTAGGGTTGGTGTTAAGAATACTGATTCTTCATTTGTTTATATTATGTGTTGTTTGTTATGTTAAAATTATTCTTTATAAGTCGTTTTGAACAATATTTTTTATATGTAACCTTAGGTTATCTTTTCTAATCATTTGATACTAATTTAATTTACTCATTTAATATGCATATTTTCTCAAGATGTATATGTTCAAAGCTTGTAAGTTTATTTTCAACCACCTTATCTTCAATAGATGTTAGATGTCACTCCAAATTTTCCTATAATATAATCATTTATTAATTATATGACTCCTTTTACTCATTCTTCTAGTTAGTGCATGGATGCTTCTCATTGAACACTTTTAAGTTCCTGATATTCTCGTTAACCTATTATGGATAAGGTGAATGATTAATATGTTCTGCGAAATTATTAGTAAGATGGTGAAGCTTTAAACTAAAAGAGTTATTTAGTCTTTCAATTGAATGCTAATTGAGTTATAAATTTGTTTCAGTTGGTAGCTCATCGTATAGTTTTCTTACATATTTTTCATATAGTTACCCTTGAAATGATTATATAATTGAGCTTTTATTTTTATCCTCATAGGGACATTTGGTGCAGAGCGTCGTCCTATTATAGAGTTTGCTTTGGAGGACCTCAATAAATTAAGACTACAGAAAGTGAAATTAGATTCTTTAAAGCGGAAGAATGAAGATTCAGACGGACACAGAAATTCTGATCATGCTGAGAAAGAAGGAAAGAAGCTACACAAAATAAAGCATCAGAGAAGTAAAAATAAAGCGTCCCAAATGCGTGAACCTACTGAATTGACCAGAGATAAGACACAGTTGCTTGAGAAGGGTCATAATGGAGAAACAAGCAGAAAGGAAATTGAGGGAGGAAAAAAGAACAGATTTTCTTCTAGGAAAATGCCTGACTCTGTGAAAACAAATAAATTGAAATTAGCCGTGAAGCCAAACTCTGAAGTTAGCTTAAGAATCAAACAAAAACAATCAAAAGCAGAGAAAAGAGTTCATTCGGGGGTATATTTTCACTTCCTTTCCCTGTTAATAAATCATAAATTACGATGTGAAACCTTTCTGTAACTCCTGTATTCTTGTGCTTTCTTTTGCATACAACAGCAAGCTTTTACAGAGACCTATAATGGCGGATCCACTGAAGAATCAATTGAAAAATCCAGGAAAAGGAAGCTTAGAGTTGTTAATGATTCAAAACAGAAGAGAAAGAAATTGTCAAAACCAGAAGAAGTGGATAAACTAGATAGGCTAATTGAACAATATCGATCCAAGTTCTCGGGTATTAAATCAAGCAAATCCGAAGGTGCTGCTCAAACTGGCGGTCATAAAGAGGTGAGAAGATGGTTCGAGTTGGCTTAGTGAGATAGACTTCCCTTGAGATGATTGATGCTTCAGTAGCTGTACAGAATCAACTGTAAGTAGGTTATAAATTTTGGTAGTTAGTAATTCTCGCGCATTACCTTTCTCGTGTTTTAAGATTTTCTGCAGCACCTAATCTTGTGAAAGACTCGCCATTTTCATGGTGGGAAGCCTATTTATATATAGATTATACTGCTAAAAATCATTCTTTGCAAATAGCCTTTATGATACCATCTCAACTAGTTGCGGACCTGCTGAGGTTTTTTGTTTTATCTTGTTGTTTCCTAGTAACTGTAACGAATTTTGCATGCATTCGTGTATAGGCTAATTTTTAAAGAGCATGTAAATAATCACAATTAGTAAAATGAACAGAGAATTTAAAAAGGAGTTAATTCGCTAAAATAATTGGCGCATTTAGAAGACACTGAATTTTTTGGCCTATTATCAATAGGTCAATTATTTTGGCGTATTCAAGCGAAGAGAGAGAAAGGTTGCATAGAGAGAAAGAAGTGGAGAGAAGAGAGAGAGAATAGTACTTTGTGTTGCTCCCTCTCTACTCTATACAAATATTATATATTATTTTTAATTATTAAAGAATGGTTAATTTATTTATAAGACCTCACCTAGGGATGTCAATAAGTGAAGCCAAGTAAGAGATGTAAATAAAGTAGCTCATTAGCTCGTCAAATTTAGGCTTCGTTTGGGTCGGCTTTCTTCTTGCTTCTTAAAGCGACTTTCTAGTATAAAAATTGCCTTTGTGCCTGTTTTTTTCCTGCTTCTTAAAGCTGTTTTATAGTATAAAAATTAAAATTTTTATATTAGAAAGCTGCTTTAATAAGCAGTAAAAAAATCGTCTCAAATGAAGCCTCAGTTTACGATCCACTTACCAAGCTGGTTTGACTCAGACACACCCAATCTCTTAGGGAAGTGACATTAAGAGAAAAAAAAAAGAACTTTGTCAGTGTCGACTTCACAGACAATCTCATTTATTACTTCAACTTCATTGTCCAAACTCTTTTATAACTTTCTTTGAATGCTTCCCAAAGCTCATCAATTTCAGTATAACAATTGCCATTCTTGTCAAAGAACTTGAAGGCTTTGTAAAGGTGTGCATCATTTTCAAGTCTATGTAAGTGAATTATAACTATAACGAACTCTCCATATTCCAGTACTCCATTTTCCATCAACATCAGCTTGAACAAAATAAGCTGATAAGATCAGATGGATTTAACTCTTAAAATGACCAATCGAGTCAACCTAATGCATATAATTCTCGAAGGTTCCATGAAATTAAAGGGCTCCTCAAATGACAAATGAAGTCTATGAATTCCTGCAGATGAATTAGCATGGATTACAATTAAGGTTTCGTTTGGGACAACTTTCGTTCTGTTTTTTAAAACGGCTTTTTAGTAAAAAATTTTAAATTCAATAGATTTTTGTACTAAAAAGCTGTTTTAAAAAGCAAGAAGAAAGTCGTCCCAAACGAAGCCTAAGTTTGTCCACAAGATTATGCTATTTAGCTCGAATTCTGAAGGACTGGACTAGTAATTTAGCCAAATAATTCATTTTAACCCACTTAATAACCCAACTAGTAGCTCTTAGTGTAGTTCATATCTAACAATATGTCATACTACTTGACCATATAAATATTTATCTGCTGAACCTGACTCTATGTTATAGTTAGTTGATAATGTTTGTGTGAACTTTGATCTAATATTTAGCAATATTATATGATTTATATTTCATAAATCCTAAATAATAGACTTATAGCTTCCATCAACATTTTCATCTATGGCTCAACCATTGTGATCCAACATTTTGTAGACCAACCTTAAGTTCTTCAAATGTTGCCATCCATTGTTATCTACATCATCAATCTAACATGTCTCTAATGACCTCTACTTCTTTGATTGATAAATGCTACACAATCACCTTTGTTTAAAAAGATTTTAAACATAAATTGTTAACTTGTGCAAGATCTATGCAGTCTACTTCTTGTGATGAAAAAAAAGGCTTTAAAGAAAATGAAGTGGGGAAAAGCTGTATGACCTGATGATATTCCAATAGAGGTGTGAAAATGCTTAGGAGATGAAGAAATTTCTTTCTTATTAAAAATTTTTATACTATTTTGAAGACTAAAAAGATGTCAGATGAGTGGCGAATGAGTGTGTTCATTCATATTTTTATGAATAAAGGTGATGCACAAGATGGTGTGAATTATAGAGGAATTAAATTAATGTGTCATACTTTAAAACTATGGGAGAGAGTTATGGAGCATAGGCTGCGACATGACACTAATGTTTCTAAAAATCAATTTGGATTCATGCCATGTAGGTCTACTATGGAAGTTGTACATTTATTGAGAGGTTTGATGGATAAGTATAGAGAGAATAAGAAGGATGTACATATAATTTTTATTGATTTAGAGAAAGAACATGATAAAGTTCCAAGAGAAGTTCTATGGAGAGTTCTATATAAAAAAAGGTAATAATGCTTATATTCAAGTCATTAAGGATATGTATGCAAGATCTATTACTTGTGTTGAAACACAAGGTGGTTTGACCAAATATTTTCCAATTTCAATTGGATTACATAAAGGATCAGCCTTCAGTCCATATCTTTTTTGCTTTAGTCATGGATGTTATCACTAGACATTTGCAAGAGGTTGTACCATAGTTGTCAATGGCGCAAAATAGCGTGCGCCATGGTGCACGGTGTGATGCGGCTCACATATGACACTATGTTCATGGCGAGACGCATGTGTTTAAAATAGCACGCGCTATTTGCGCCTCATGTGAGCCATGGCACACGACACAAAATAGCGCGCCAAATTATTTTTAAATTTCATTATACTCAGGAATATTTTTTATATTTAAAAATACATTTATATTTTAAGAAAAATGACTGTTCGTTGTCCTAATTTCACGAAAGTTTTTCTGTTTGTTGCATCTGTCGAACACATCCCGCAGTCCCGAAGTCGAAGTCGCTGAATTTGTCCCGAAGTCGAAAGTTTTATGTTTGGTGCATTCGCTGTTTCCGTCGAATCCAGCCGAATCTGTCCCGAAGTCAAAGTTGCTGCTTCCGCCGAATCGTCCCGCAGAGCAATGCTTCCGCCAAATTCGCCCCCTCCTTCGTCTGTTCCAATAAAAAATCTTACCAGCTGACTCCGATTTGCAACCTCCGTCAGTCAGTATGTTCCGCACAGCTCTGTTGTTTTGCACAGCTATTTCTTGCAAGAATTTACAACTTAACATGTATGCTCAGTACCGTTATATACATGCTCGGTACAGCTAGGTACATGCTCAGTACCGCTATGTACAAGCTTGGTACCGCTCGATATCGCTATGTATATGCTTGGTACCACTCGGTACACGCTCGGTACCACTCGATACCGCTATGTACATGCTCAATACCGCTAGGTACATGCTCGGTACCGCTTGGTGCCACTATGTAGTCTATGTACATGCTCGGTACTGTTATGTACATGCTCGGTCGAACCCCGTCAGGGGGTAGCGCCCCCTTGGACCCCCGGCAGCCTGACATATTATGTTTCTTGGACAATATTATGTTTATTTTATCTAAATTTGTTTGCTTTTATGTGATCATAAAATGTCAGATTCAGTTCAATCTTTAAAAAAAGATTCAACATGAAAATATGCTATATTAACAAATGAATCCAACAACAATAGTGTGACATGCATTTTTTTGTGGTAAAATAACAAGAGGAGGAATTACACGCCATAAACAACACCTCGTTGGGGGTTTTAGGAATGCAAGGCCTTGCTCTAACTGTCTTGAGCATGTGAGGTCTGAAATTAAGGCATCCATGTTGAAAAAAAAAGGATTTAAAGAAACAATTTAATGACCTATCAAATGTTAACCTTGCTGAAGGAGGGTGATGAAGAGAATTATGAAGTAGGAGACAATGTTGATGAAGATAATTAAGCTTTTTTAACATTTGGTGATGATGATGATTCCAAGAAGAGTATATTAAATTCTTATTTGCTATTTTTTTTTAAATATTGTAATATTTGAATTATGAGATATTTTGATGTTACTTATTTGAACTTATATATGTTATGGTTGTCTTTCATTATTATGATAACTTGTCTTTCATTTTTAATGATATTTCATATTCATCTTTATTATTTTATAATTTTTATAAAATTTGCATCATGTTCAAAATGGCATGCACCGCGCCGTGCGCTATGCGCCATGGTGCACCATTCGCCATTAATAGGTATGGGTTGTACCATGGTGTATGCTTTTTGCTGATGATATTCTTCTTGTTAATAAGACTAGAGAGGGAGTTGAAGGTAAACTTAAATTATGGAGGTCAACCTTAAAGTTTAAAGGCTTTTGTTTGAGTTGATTTAAAATTGAATATATAGAGTGTAATTTTAGTAATAATAGATCTAGTTGGGGGATTGGGACTTTAGACGATCAAGACATTAATAAGAGCACAAGTTTTATATATCTTGGGTCTATTGTTCACAGTGATGGTGAAATAGATGGAGATATTATTAGTAGAATTTAAGTTGGATGGTTGAAGTAGAGGAATGCATTAGGCTTGTCATGTAACAGAAAAGTCCCTCTCAAACTTAAGGGAAAATTTTATAAGATGGTAGTGAGACCTATAATGCTTTATGGTGCATAATGTTGGCCATTAAAAGAGAAGCATAATATTAAGTTAAGTGTTGCAGAGATGAGGATGCTCAGGTGGATGAGTGGCTTTACTATTAAAAATAGGATAAAACATGTGCATATAAGTGAAAAGGTTGCAGTAGCTCCAGTGGAAGATAAGATTAGAGAGAGCCGTCTTAGTTGGTTATTTCACATAAACGACGACCTTGTAATGACTCGATTAGGAAAGTAGATGTATTAGATTTGACTTATGTTAAGAAAGGTCGAGGTAGACCTAAAAAGACTTGGTTAGAAAATATTAGAGATAACATTTCTTTATTTGATTTAAATGAGAATTTGACTCTTGAAAGGACACAATGGAGAAAAAAGATTGATGTAGCCGACCCCACATAGCGGGATAAAGGCTTGTTGTTATTGTTGGTGGTGGTGGTGAAAAAGAATGTAAATTTTATGGAGATAGAGGAATATCTTCAATGGTGATAACTTATTTGAAAGCTTGTAAATCTCTATCCAATATATATCAGAGTTTCTTACTCTAATAAGAGATACAACTAAGTTAAAGAGTTAAAAGATA